TCATGTGAGAACCAATAAAGAACTGTTTTGTGCAGTTAAACAAACTTTACCTTAAAAAAATAACAAAAAGTTCCTAGAAATCTTGAGAAAAAAACATGAATTCGCGACTGAATCGCACTTAGTTATAAATTATATCCAGCAGAGTTTTGACTATTAAATATTTTCTAAATAAAACAGTAAAAAGTTGCTGCGATTATTTTCTAATATACAAAAATTCTAAATTTTAGCAAATTTAATTTCGTTATTATTTTTAGATTCATTTATTTTTTATTTATTGTAAACTCTTTTTTAATATTTTTTTTATTTTAGTTTTCTTTATCTTTACTTATTAATTTTTTTCTGCTTTTGTGCATCCTTTCATACATTTTTCTGTTTTATTTTTCTTTTTATATTTATTAATTTGTATATTTTCTTTTTTTAAAATTTTTATTTAAAATTTATCTTTACTTTTATTTTTTTGTTTTTAAATGCATTTTATTATTTGATTTTTATTTAATTTTTTTCACCTTTTATTGATTTAGTTTTAATAATTTATTTAGCTTTTATTTTTTTGTTACTAAATATATAAATCCCACCTTTTTATTTCATTTTTGTATATTTTATGTATTTATTTTGTTTTTGAATATAGTTTTCTTACTTGCTTTTATTACATTTACTTTTTTTCATTAATTTTTGGTATTTAATTTTATATTTATATTTTTTATTTAATTGGCGCTGTAGTGATTTTCGGCCGAGCTCCTCTTCCAAACTGTGATTTTGCATCTTGATGGTTTTCATTTTATATTAAAATAAAGTTAAGCAACATTTAATTATACATATAAAAAAATGATTTTTTTAAGTGCTTCGAAGATTGGAAAAACCGCTGACCCAAGTGTACAACATCTCATGGGGATTACTTTGAAGGGGACAAAATAGATTTTCATGAATAAATACATAATTTTTGAAAATACACGAAATTCGCAATATTCTTTGAACACACCTCGTATATTTATATTTTAATTTTCAGTTTTTGTATTCAATTCTATTTTTTTAATTACTATTTTTAAATCTTTTTTTCTTTACAAAATGTTAAATTATTTATTTATTCTTTATTTTTTTAATACAATTTTCTTCATTTTATATTTCATTTACTTATTTACAAATTAAATAGTTTTTAGTTTTACTTATGCTTTTTTGATTGATATATTTTTTTTATACATATCTTTAACTTTATTATTTATATTTATATTTATGGATTTATAAGTTATCTTTTATTTGTTTATGTATTTCTTCCTTTCAACTAATTTTTTAGGACTTTCTTTTGTTTTTCAATTTTTATCTACTTTTCCATTATTATTATTCCCTTTTGAAAATTTAAATATTTTTTTATTTTGATTCCTTTGCCTTTTGAATATAATTTTATTATTTTCCTGCATTTTTTAATCTATGTAAATTGTCGTATTTGTTGCAGTACTCATTAGACTTAACTTGTCTCCAAGTTTTCAATTTTTATGAGGCTCAGTATCAAACTTCTAATATTATAGTGTTTTTCTCTTTATAAGGATTTCATTTTTTTTTTGCTTAAATTCTTTTAAATTAAATGAATTTCCAGTTCTTTATTAAAATCTACTGCTTTTAGATAAACTTTTTGTACTTTCTATTAATCGCCCCTAACGCCAATTATCTGCTCTTTTACATTTTCTAAATCGCATATCTGTATGTGTGTCTTCGCAACCCTTCCGCTATCCATTACCAAATCCAATTTCTGTAGGAATTTTTGATTTTTTTTTCTTTACTTTCCTACACAGTTCAATTTCTATCGAATTAGCAATTTCATTCACGCCTTTGCCTCGCACTCACCGCAGCGGATTTGTTAGCTCAAATGATAGCCAATAGAGATACAAAGCCTTGCAGCTGGGGGACGAGCAGAAGAGGGAGGAGTAGGACTAGCATGTAGGGAAAAAATGGAAGAAACAGCAGTGAGAATGTGACTATTTGATAATAAAAAGCTTAAAGCAAACTAATTGACTGTTAAAATAAAATCACAAATCCAATAAAAAAAAGGAAAACAAAAAAAAAAAACGCTGTGAAATGTTTTATAAGATAAATAAGTAAAAAAAAAAGGATATGTGTAGCAGAATAGGTGTTTGGTTTAGGTACATTTGTATGTAAGCATGTGAAAGTCATGTGAACAGCAATATAAATAGACAGATATTTATTCCGAATGGATTTGGCTTGAGCTGTCGCCTGTCGCACGCTGCTCGAGTCATTTCGAAAGCAATTTCTCCGCATACAAATTTCAGCAATAAAGAGTTCTGCGCATCCTTTCAATGGCAAAAAGTTGGTTCACTGACAACTGTTTAAGTCCATTTGAATCTATGCATATATACATACATACAAATGCACGTATGCTCCATGTGTTGGCCACTGTGTGGTTTTGTATTCAAAAGGATTAGTTGCGACTTTATCACGCGTTCGCTCTTCCGCTCGCTTAATATGCTTTGATAGTAAATTTAGTGAAGGATTTTGTGTAAGAGATTAGTTTTGGGGTATAAATGCGCAGGAGCAAGCAGAAGTCACGGAGAGTGTGCTACTGAAATTCTAGACAAGTAAAAACGCGAGGGGGGGAATAATATATCTCGCCGTATCGCTCGACAAATGAATGCAAGTGAGTTTTAGGGTTCTATGCAAAAGGATTAATGGAATTTATTTTAATTAAATGATATATTGAATTCATTTAAACTCGGTGGATAGTGCTGCACAGCCAAAGGAGTTGGTTTTCGTAATAAAATTGGGTTTTGAGTTTGAAGGAATTATTAATGTAATGAAAGTATGATATTTGAAATGAAATTTAATGTATTAAATCTAAATCAAATTTACTTGTTAAATAAACGGATTACCACTTTTTGACTTGAAAAGATAGTGCGGCTTATCTTAGGTTACTGCTTTAATGAAAATAATCGAAGCTGAAATACTATAATTTTTCAAAAAAAATGTTATTTATTTTTTCTTACATTTTAATTTAATTTTTGAGGAACTAAAAATTTTATTTTTATTGTTTTTTTTTTTTAATTTATTTTTATATAATTTTTTTTTATTTACTTATTTATTTATTTATTTATTTATTTGAAACTTAATAATAAATAATTATATCACAAAAGTAGAGACACTAGCTACTAAGGCTATCGGTCTCATATTTTATTTTATACACCACTCGTTTTTTGCACGGCTTTATACTGCCTCAAATACGCTGTTTACCTTCTAAAAGAAAATTAATCTGATCGATTTGCCGTGTTGAAATGTTTGATGATTTATACTTTTATTTAATAGGAGACTTTTGGCCAAATGCCTATATTGTTTGTGTTTGGTGCACACACTTATAGGTATATATGTTTTCTCTTTAAAAAAATTTCGGCGGGTGGCAACTCTTCCAAAAATAACTAGCAGCCGTAGCCTCCTTAACAGCTTCAAGCAGCTACTCATATTGCAATACCTCTTATGTTGAATTAAATTCAAGTTTTACAATTACAAAATAGGTGGCAACTCTACTCAAAAATATTTTGAATTATACAACACAAATATATTTTCCATAATTTAGTAAATATTACAAGTATTTGTTAACTTTTTTAAATTAAATTTTTTTAAATATATGGCAACTTTGTTTTTCACTCTGTTCCTTTTTTAAAGTTTGTGTATTTGTTCAACATCTTTGTTATTACATTACATTTTTATTTAAGAAAATGTTTAGAAAAGCTTCAAATTGCTTTTAAAAAATAAGTGGCAACTCTACTAAAGATTTTTTTAATTCAGATGCGTGGAAATCATTATATGACCTCTAAAGTTTAAAAAAAAAATTAACTTTATTAAGTATTATATATATATCAACAAATTGTTTGCGTTTGGGTCAAAAGTAATTGAAAGTTTGAGAGCCACTATTTTCTTATATGTAAATAAAAGCAAGAGCGGTATAAGATTTCTCTATTATTATTCCTCAATAATTTTGGATGTTAAGTTTCGATATCACCAATAATTCTAATTTGTTAGATAAGTTTCTTCACAAACATCTTATTTTCATATATTTCATTTATTTTTCATGTGGATTTGATTTGCTGGCTCGTGCCGGCATTCATTATTGACACTCACGATCAATTTTTTTAATTAAAATATTTTTATTATAAATATTGCAACTCTTTTCAAAACTATTATCGGACTCTTATAAATATTTGAAATGTTTATTTACCTAAATTAATAAAATTTTAAAATTTTTTTAAATTAGTTACTAGTATTAAAAATAAAAAAAATAATATGTGGCAGCTCTACGCAAGAAATATTTCATTTTCAACACTGTTTTAGCTTCTTCATTTGATTTCGTAAATATAATTGGCATTACATCGGTTTTATAATTTTTTTCAGCAGGTTTAATTGACCCTTCTTTGATCCCTAAAAGGCCAGCTCAAAAGAAAAGGTGAATTTAGTTAATTTCCATATTCTTGTATTTCTATTAAAATGTAATGTTTTGGTTGAACACATCTTCACGTTCAGCCACAGTGAAAGCGACAGTTTGAGTTTTAAGTCAAAATATTTCTTTTTGATTGACTGAAATATGAGCTCATATAGAACTTTAGTGCGGTGCTCTCGCATACAGCGCCATCTAGTGAGTAAATTTTCGGTCGGTATATTTCTTTTGCATATTTGCTGATAACTTTAGGCGTATAAGGCCTCTTTAGGTGGTTTGGCAAGGTCGAGGGAATTTTTAAAATTTTTTTTTGGGAAAGCCTACCACTGCGATGATGATGCTCTCAATGCCTTATTAAACCAATTTTTACAGGCTTCGAAAATTGTTCTTGGATCTTTGTATTGTAATATTTATTTTAAATAAATTGTGAAAAATTATTATTAATCACTTTAAAAATTTTATTTAAAAAAAATTGTATTTCAAATTTATTTATTATGAAAAAAAATTTAAAATTATAAACCAAATATATAGACCCAAAATTAATGAACATTTTTTCTACTTCCAGTTGGATTGCAAAAACTGTAAATATGATGCTTTAATTGGCGAAACCACTTTGAGCAACAGTTATGATTACAGCAACAACAGTAATATGACTGGAGGCGGCACGGATTCAGGAGATGGTTAGTATATTAAATAAACATTTTATATGTGAGCTGCACCCACCTTCATGAACTGCCTTCTCTCGGTGACCTTGCCTGAGCTGAAACAATCGACTATGAGCCTCTGAGAATTTGTAGTTGTTTTCTGACTTTGTTAAGGTAATAAGCAGCTGAGATGTCAGGTGCAAGGTGGTTGCTATGGATGCATATGTACCTTTGCTATGAAATGCAATCTCAGCTACCCTCCGTCAAGTAAATGTGACTTTAAATGTTGTAACCTTGAAGAAAATCACTCCAAAAAAAGGCTAAGCCTCATGACGAAGGCGACTCCTTAAAGTTGTGGTAATATATTATTTGAAGTCTCTCGCCATGATTTTGTAGTGAAAATATCCCAAGAAACGTATTCAGCTGAGGGGCACCAGTAGGGGTATCTTATTTCAGGTTTTGGGTTATGCGAAACTTTCTTTGCATTTCGTGTGGATTATAAGACAGTACCACATTGCTGAAGAGGTCGAGCCGAAAATGCTGAAATGGAGATTTGGTGATGGTTTGGTGGTGAATTGATAGCCAAAGTAGAGACTGATCAGCTTTTTAGCTTTTTTATAGTCTCAACTTTGTCTCAAAGTGCTTTTACGACTTGGGAGCTAAGTATTTGACATTCATTCCCCTTAAAGGCCAGCACGTAATATTATAAGTGCTGGAATGCGCTCTTAGTATGAATCTTATATGAGAGACTCTCTTAGCTGATCAAAGATCTGAGGTATGGCAGTTGGCATTATTCATTATAAAACCTAAGTCCGTAACGGCAAGAGAGCTTTAGCGGCTGAAGAGCTCAGTAAAAATATTAAGAACTCTTTCCCTGCCCTTCCCTTCCCTTCCCTTACCTTCCCTTCAGTTACCTTCCCTTCTCGATGCATCCATTCATCCATTTACCTTTACCTACGTAAGAACACACTTCCACTTTCAGTTCCGTTAAATATTCACACAATTTACCGTTATTTGTTATCCTTTCAGACTCCTGTCGTCTGCTGTACAATTCACCAGCGAAATTAAATCAAAATCAAATGTTGACGGCAACGAAAATCAATACGCAATACTATCAACAGCAGCAGCAGCAACAACCGGATGTTATGCTAATGGCAACAACAGCAACGGCAATGGCAGCACAAAAGCCAATGCAACAACAACAACAACAATATCAGCAACTGTACAATCGCTCGGCCACACCGTCACCGCAACATTTTCAGCAGCAACAACAACAACAGCACCCCATGCAAACATTTCACATCGTCTCGGCCAACTCATCGCCCACACAACATTCAGGGCAACAACAACAACAACCACAACAACATGCCACATTGCGGCAATATGCCACGCTACAGCATAAACCGCATCAACAACAACAACAACAACAACAATATCAACATATACAACAACAGCAGTATGTTGCCGTACCCAGCGGCGCTTTGTTACGTTTCCATACAACAACACCAGCAAAAGCAACAACCACAGCCACTGCTACTGCTACAGCAACGGGCGTTCCACAATCGGTTGCGCTGAGTGGCAATAGCAATAATTGCACAACCGACGGCAATGGCAATGTTGGCATCGGTCTTGGTGCCACACTCATCACCACCGGTGTGCCGAGCAATTGTTATCAATCGGCGAATGTGTCAATGGCTGGAGGCACAGCGACGGCTACAATTTACTTTCCGATTGCCACGGCGGCGCATCCACAGCCAGCCAACTATGCAGCCATTGCCAGTGCGGCAACAGTGGCAACAGGGACAATAACACCGGCAAACAGTGAGGCGACTGCGCTGGTTGGTGGTGTGGGCGCTGGTTCCGGTTCGGGCGCTGCAGCCGCAACGCAATTGCTTTGCAATCAGCCGATTGTGAAATATCACACAATACAACTCACCCATGCGAGGAAGCAACCGCAGCAGCAACAACAACAACAACAACTACAGCAACCACAAACGACGTTGTTGGACAGTGGGGCTGATGTGATGCCACTGCCGCCACCGCCGGCGTATCAAACGGCAACGGTGCATGGTGAGTCTGAGGAAGAAATTAAAAAAAAAAATTTTTCTTATGAAAGTTTATACTTAACGACTTTGCAAAGAAGAACTGCTATAGTAACTTTCTCACGAAGCAGATAAGCGAGGCGAGCTTACTTGCGCAGTGACACTACTCTTGGAAGACAACACCAATCAGTCTTACTTAGCTTTCCTGAAAATCCGCATTATTAGTCTCTGAACCCATCCGGTTCAGCAATAACTAATTTGCTTCCCAAGTGGCTTCAACCTTAGCTTGCAAGATATCGTACTCACCTTCATAGATCTCAGCAAAGCCACCTTTTGAGTCTGGCCGTCTATCTGGTATTCATATCACCAGCTGTGCGTTTTGCTAAAAAGGCTTTGAGGTTATCAAACATTTTTTTCAAACTCGAAACTTAATGCAATGTCGCTCGTAGTGAGCGAAGATGGTTGCTAGAGCGAGCGAAACTAGCGCTTCACGGCGCAGAGCTTAGTTGGGCAAATGTATTAAAATTAGATTATTCAGTCAAGCCTGTCCAAGGATCAAAAGAGCCTTGTAAGTAAAGCAGCGCAATCATCGTCTCTCATATTATTTTGATCTGCTTCGGGGAAGCTGTTAGACCTACAGATCCTCTCGGTGCAAGAAAAGTAGCGAAGTTATTCAGAAGGTCAGAGAAGAAGGTAGTCGGTGGAGGAGTTTAGAGTCTCAGTTGGAGAGCTCGCCATTGCGTATTGAGTCTTGCAAATAGAATTGACTATTCGGCTTTCCAGAGCAATGTTAAAATTGGTGCATAAAGCTAGATGAGGTAAGATTTCACCAGTCGACTAATGCGTCTCACATAGAGCCGTTCTTTCTAGTGCCGGTTGGATGTGTGCCTTATTGTGATTGTTATATAGATGGTCGACTCCTTTCGTAAAGTTCAAGTCACCCACTAAATCATATTTTGAAAGCTGCTCTGGTTCCTTGAACTGTAAAGCTTAGAAATTACTGAGGCAGTAACAAAGAAGCTGCTGTAATGTCTCATGCATGCTCTCCTCCTTGCAAATCTTACGTATGTCACTGCTACTAAAGCGTTTTCCATTGACAGCAACATTACGGCCGACTTCATTTTTGAAGAAATATGTACCGATAACTGACCCAATCCAGAGCGCACGGCAAACATCCATTTTTTCAGAAAGTACCGGCGTCTCAGTAGATGCTACTTCGTATTAAGTAGGTCATTGAAAAGTAAAGTTTCCTACCGATGAAAAAAAAAATACCAAGCTTTACAAGTACCTCATCGTTTCCGTCCTCCCATACTAATTCCCACACATTTCACTACTACAAATGTTCTTTCTGCTTGCATGGAATGCCGGTTGGTTGCGGTCTGACATTAGGTCACCAACTGTCCTACAGTCCTTACGCGAATGTTTAGGTAAAAAAATAGGTGCATCCTTCGTTGTTGTTGTACATGATATTTGTGGTTTTGCTGCTCACCTTGGCGCTCCATCTCACCTTGATGCGGCTCCCAGTTCTTTTGGCAAGCTCATTTGATATAGTTTTGGGTGATTTTTCTGTATTCTCCTCTGGTTAGCAAGTATGGCGGTGGAGTAGCAAGAGAAAATTTGAAAGCTGAGCTAAAAATAGTTAAATTAAAAATAAATAATTAAATTTAAAGATCCTGAGAGTTCTCCAATGTTGGAGTTGTTCGAATGAAGTCACGCCGTTTTCTGCTGTGCTCTTAGACAGTCATGCTACTGCATGTTCATACGCTGAGATCGCTTCTATTTCAACTTACAACTGTTTATATACTCCTAAATATATATATATATGTATATACACATATGTACATGTATAGCTGCTCGTCACTCAAATTTAAATAGCTCCATCCATGAGCAGTAATGCTGTGGCTTAACTTTCACTCCCAAAAACAAACAAGCAGTGACCACAAGCTTTCAAAACATAAGCAAAAACAATGCAACAACAATGTTGTTTTTATTTTTTCATTTTACTTCCTCAACACGACTCACTCAACAGCACTCAGCAGTGGTGTTGGGTTGAGCTTAAATTTCATTTGCCACACAAATGTGGCATGCAAAATGAACTTTTTTTTTTTGTTTTTGAATTTTTGCATTGCATGCATTCATACATTCATACATATATACATATACACATATATATGTACATACATGAGTATATATTTGCTTAAGTTAAGTTGGTAAATGGAGTCAGCTGAGCGTTTGCAGTATTTGAGTGACTTCCCTCTCTATGTTACACTCCAGATTTGTGCTCTCAATCCCTACAGTACCTCTGCACTGGCCCATTTTCGGTGTTGAGCTCAACTCCACACCACAAACCACTAATGAAAGTCAACTTTGGAAAGTTTGCTGTTTGCCGGCAGCTACCCACCAACAGTCACCCGCTATTGGTGAGATGATGTTACAGAAAATGCATAAGTTTTTTTTATTATTGTTTTTGTTGTTTTTGTAATTTTCTCTATTTTTTGTGTGTTGAACTTTAAGTTGAAAGGAAAATGCAATTATAGTGGAGATCTGTGGTAGCAAAGGCTTTATTAAACATACCAAAAACAAATACACATACATACATACATATTTACTGCTACACACATAAATATATATATAAATATATATATATATAACACTATATATTAGCACTACACTGCACTAAAAAAAATAAATGTTTGAGTAAACGAGTTCCTCAAGTGAACGCTGGCTCCACAATTTATTGTAAAGGGTGTTTTTTAAGTAGTTGGGTTTTTTAAGAAAAAACTAAAACATCATAATTCATTGCTATTGCCAAAAATTTAGCTTTATTATACAGATAAAAGTTTGCCGTGAAGATTTAAAAATAATATTGAGCAAGTGATCGCCACGGCTGACTCGAATATATTCCAGCCGAGGGTAGAAATTTTCTATCAGCAACAACATTTTGCAGCAATTGAGGCGGAATGTGAGTAATAACATGCCGAAGATTCTTTACCAAGGTGTTAAACGCCTCGCACTGAGCTGTGTAGGCAAGTGGCATGACATAACCTCACAAAAAAAAAAATAAAAAAAAAAATACTGTGGTGCTAAATTCTTGGAGGCAACGCGACAGACACACGACACAAGATATCATAATTCGCTCACTGAAAGCCAACTGCAATAGATTTGTTGTTTCATGGGTTTTATGGCATGCGGCGCAGTCTTGTTTGAACCAAAGTTCATCCACGTCAACATCCTCCACTTCAGACACCAAAAAGGCATTATTGAAGAAATGTGGACCAGTGATTAGCGCAGTGCAAAGAGCACATCAAACATCAACTTTTTGAGCATTTAACGGCGTCTCAACAGATGTTCCTTTGGACTTAGTAGCCAATTGAAAAGTAATGTACTCACTCGACGAACAAATACCAAACACCACAAATCGTTTATCGTTCCCGTTCTGCTGTATGATGCGAAAGCATGGACGATGATAAAATCTGATGAGTCGGCTTTGGCAGTGCTCGAGAGAAAAGGTTTACTTAAAGTTTATGGTCCTCTACGAGTCAGTAATGGCGAATAACGCAAACGTTGGGGCGAGGAGCTGTTCAAGCTTTACGATGATATTGACCTAGTTCAGCGAATCAAGATAGAGCGACTATACTGGCCAGATCATGTCATCCGAATGGATGAGAGCACTCCAGCTTAAATGTTTTCGATGCAGTATCCACCGGTGGAAGCAGAGAAAAAGCAATAACTCCACTCCGTTTGAAAGATCAGATGGAGAGCGAGCTGGTTCCACTTGGTATTTCCAACTGGTAACCAACAGCGAAAAGATGGAAAAGTGTCGCGCTAATGATGAGTTTCTAATGTTGAGCTTCTCGGCAGGGGTTGTCAACGTCTCTGAGTGTATTTCTGACATGAAAAATAAAGCTTCTCATAAAAGAACCAGCAGCCGTTCGAAGGCGGCTTAGTATAAACTGTAGGACCCTCTATTTGTTGGAAGCACAAAAAGATGCAAACCCACAAATCAGAGTAGCAGCTCGGCTGTAAAATCGCTTCAGCGGTAAAAAAGTGTCATTTATATATCACATTGTTGAGTCCACTATAATCGCTTTCTGGGCGCCCATGCTAATGAATAAGAAACACAGCACTTCAACAATGGCTGGTGGATTATCATCACTCCATTCGCATCCATTCAACCAGAAGTGAGCTGAGTTTAGCTTAGGTTGAACTGGCTGACCCATTAGGTCTCCCATAGACTATTATACAGCCATAGTGTTCCCAGAAACACAAAATGTGACGAAATTACACGGATTTACTCCTACTTTGTCTCTAGTGGGAGACACAGTGCTTTTCGCAAGTGGAAGGCATTTTGGCTCTTTAGCCTTTACCGCTTGAAGATTCTCTAACCTCTATGCACCCAGTAAGTAAAGGTTTTGCCTGTCGAATGCTAGACACCTACAGATTTCGTGCTTCACTATCTCCACGCATTCCTTAAATTTGCTGCATTTGTTGTGCTCAGTCAGTAGCATACGATGTCAAAAGGTAATGCCACGTTGAAAGTCCTGTCAGTAGCCTACAATCCGACCTCGTTTGCAAATAGTACGAACTTTATTGCGACTCTGCAGCGCTTGATTCGTTCCCAAACTCTCTTAACCTGACGAGGTGAGCTTACTACTTCCTTTTGCACCTCTCTGAATGGAACTGGAAAGTTCTCTGCTGTATTCTATACTTAAAAGACACCCTCCATAGCCAGTTTATCGGCTAACTCGTTACTTTCTTTACGCCGTGTGATCTAGCTTAGAGTAAATGTGAACCTCTCTGTTTCAGACAGTGCCTGTGTCGCCTCTTTACATAGCGCAATCACAGCTGATCTCGTGAAGCGCTTTATGATCGTTAAATTTTTGCACGAGGTGGATTTTATAAGTCGCCTGTAAACCAAGATTCTCTTGCAAAATATTATATAAAGTAGATGGAATTGATCGAATAGTTCCACTTGATGGTGAATCACTGGGGTCTTCTTCGATAAATTGCTCCACAGCATCAATTGCGTCTTCGGGGCGCATTGTATGGCGGTTTTGAGAATGCGTATCTATAGTTGTTTGAATTATCAACGCTGCTTGGGTATTATGTCGATAGAGTGTTGGACGCAGTGCGAGCTACGTTGCGTGAGCTAAACCATAAATTTGGCTTCAAATTCGAGGCGCTTGAAAACGTTGTGTCCGGAGTAAGTGTCTCCACAATGAAATATCAAGTCAAACTAAGTACGAATGAATCAAGTAACTATTGTCTCAAAAAAAAAAACACCCTTTACAAATAGGGAGTAATGCAAGTCAGAGCAACGTCCAACTGCTGAGATTTCGTTGCTTTAGTGCAAACTAGTTTTGCCATTTCCCTCTTGACTTGCACTTGAATAGTTATTGTTCGGGCATGTTGCAGTTCTAGTTTCACTTTCTTATCTTCCTTCTACTCCCCTGCAGAATTTTTGATTTTCTTCAGTTCGTTTAGTTCGTCGCTTGCATTTGGCACGCCAAAGTTTCTTAGTTGTTTTGAAATGAGTGAAAGTTTCTTTGTGCGGCAGGCAAGTGGATTTCCAGATTTAATGGTTGCACTGAGAAGTGGAGATGATGAGAGTGGAAATTGTGTTGGATTCGAAAAAGTTTTCTTAAAGAGATGCTCACATTGAAACTGTCGTGTATCTCTTCTAAAGAAAGCACAAAGCTGATCTATAATGATTTATTTCTGTAATTTTAATTAAGTGGAAAGAATTTTGCTTTACTCAAAGCGCAGCTCAAAATATGGCGTTTGATGTCTTCTTAAAAAAATTAAAGTAAAATAAACATAAATCACATTCAGCTGATGTGGTGATATATTGTATATTCGATCTAGTAAAAAGTCATCCATTATTTTTTAAAATAAATTTTATATATATTATTGTTATTTATTATTAATTAATTATTCGATTTATGTCAAATAAACAACGTTTTGCTCGATCAAAATAATATATTTTGAAGAAAATATCTCTCTCTTGCCTCTCTCATAGAAACTCTTGCCCATATTGGCAAAAAATTTCCCCAATCGATTTTCACTGCCTTCTCTTGAGTGCAATTCTTTACCTATCAAATCATTGGACATAGACAGAAACAGACGGGTATTCACTTGCTGTGAGGTCCAGCCTAAAGATAGTCTCACCATCACACACTTCTCTCAATTCTTTTTCAATGCTTTGCAGCGCACTTAAATCTCACCGAAATGCGCTTATCATGCGTTGTCCAACATGTCATATGAATCACAGTCTTTTAACACACATCCACACGCACACAGAACATATGTGCATATGCCTAAGCTCCGGAAATACACCGAAACACACTAACAACTCCTCCAAAATGACACACCGGCAGCCAGGCGTGCTAGCATTCGTGCTCATCTTCTGCAGTGAGCAGCTTTTAATTGCATTTAACTTACCCCGTTATCGTTGACTTGCCATATGCCAACAGCTGTTTTGCGGTGCTTTGCTTCGCCGCTCATTTACTCGGTTGCATGTTGGCGCACGTCAGCCGAACGGACGCGTTGACAGCATAGCAAATGGTTGGTATCTGATCGGCTCAGCCAAGCGACATAATTTACAGCGCATTATTGTCGACTCTTAACTGTTGCTACTGCTGCTGACACAGCTGACTTTGCCTTGGACGCTGGTGTTGGATATTTTCTGCTTGTTTGACTGAATATACCGATGCTCTTTGCTTGCCATGCCGTCAGTTGTTTTTGCTTTTGCATTTGCATTTGACTTCAAATCGTTTGCGTGGTTGGCATTTGTTAAGCGATTGATTTGTTGGCGATTTTTGTCATTTCCATTGTGATATGACCTCCTTGGTGTGTTAAGATGCATGAATAACTGTAGCTGAGTTGAGCTAAATATATGATAATAGAGCTGAATAAGATTTTCCAACTATACATTAGATTAATACTACGTGCTTTTAAATAATAAGTGCTGAATAGCGTGGAAAAAGTATCCCAGACAATATTGCTTATAAAGCAGCTGAATTAAACAATTTTCGGCCGAGTGTATTAGAAAAAGTATAATTTGTGAGAAAAATAAATTCTGGTACGCTGAGTATTGCAAAATTTGCTGCTGAATTTGCTGCTGAATTATAAAAAATCATTGAAAACATTTAAGTATAAGGTTTTTTGATGAATTATATATTGTGCAAAATGTGCTTCGATGACGCTGGGTTAGGGAAATAATAATAATGTATATAAAAAATCGTTTTAATGACTTATGCTAAAAAGTTTTAGCTGAATTGGGCTGAACATAGCTCAAAAAATTCTAAATGATACCGAATGCTATAAACTTCTTTCCCGCAATTATGTGACAAAAAACGGAAAGGCTCAAAAGTGTCAGCTGAGCTGCGCTGAATTCAATGATATTGCTTCAAGTGGAGCTGAATGTGGTTCAGGGACGATAAAATAACTATAATAACTTCAATTGAATGGCGCTGAATTCATTTGATTTGCATTAAATTAAGCTGAATGAGAGTGTGAATAAGATAATTTCATGATAAATGGTACTTAACTATGAAATATAATCAACTAGTATTTCAACTAGTAAGCAAAAATATGTATTAAAATAAATTTTCAATTTATTTATGTAGAAAAAATTTTAGATGCCACTACCTGAGAGCTGCTGAATTCAGCAAGTCTACCTTGGGATGCATTTATGGTACTTTTCACTATTCACGACATTTTTCAGCTCACAATTATACAAGCTGAACTAGGCTGAATTGGATATAAGCAATTTTATTTCTGCTGAATTGCGCTGAATTCTACTTTTCAAATGCCAAATTCCCCCCGCTTGCAAGGGATCGATTTAATTAACAATCTCCGTCATTGTGACAGCGCAAATTGGCGCCCTTTAACAACACACAACCCTAGAATAAATTGCTAAACTCAAATACAACTTAAGTTAAGCAAGCAACACACGGAAGCAACAACAAACGGCTAATAAGAGGCATGTGAAAAATGAGAGTTCGTACGTATAAACTCATTCACAGCGACTTTAGTCGCTTGTAAATTGTTGTACGAACAAGCATTACCGTTAAAATACGGTAATCAATCACTTCATTTAATTTAGGTCTTAAATTGTTACAGCTGCTACGTGAAAATGAAAAAGATCATACGATGAAGCGAAGAGAGGTGAGTTTGCTGTCAAAGCGGCATTTGTGTCAACGCGTTGCTGGTGCAAGCTTGCCAAACAATTTAAGCGCTGAATTGACGGATTTAAGTACTTCGGAAATACTCAGTAACAGAGAGAGAGAGAAAGACAGGTAGAGAAGACGCAGGAGCTTGGGTGAGACCGAGTGAGGGATGAACAATTTAACTTAAGCTGATATGAAAACGAAAAATATGAAAGGAAAATAAATTAAAGAAAAAAACTGTGTTTGCTTTGGTGTGACACTCTCGCTCCCTCACTCATTCTCTTACCCTCCTGACTTTCCTAAGGTATCATATGTGTCTAAAATTTTTATTATGACCTTGCCAGACGTGTGTCACACATTTATTTTTATTGATGATGACAATGACGCGTTGTGGCACGTTCGTGTCGGAGATGAATGAGCTCTGTGGCGTCATGCTATATTGTTTTCTATTATTATTTTTTTTTTAAATTTTTTTTGCTTTGCGTAGAGCGTGGTTGACTCCACAGCGTGGCAGCGATTGAATTTCAATGGCCCATGTAATGCTTACTCTTATTGCATGACTTGCTAGGCTGGCATACCTATATCAAAGGTTACTTGCTAATTCTTGGTTTTATTTCAATTAAGGTCGTGTTGAGAATAGAATATTTTAAAAATAAATATAGCGCCAAAAAGAAGGTTGCACGGACAATGAGTTCACGTGTGAAAAGTGCGCGCTGAATCACTGTTAGCTGCTCAAATTTTATTATTTCTATGTTAATTCATACATTAATTGTGAAATTTTGTAGAAATCCGTTTATCAAGCGTATTTATTTACATATATTACTTTATTTTCGCTGCTGAATAAGCGTAAAGATATTGCGCTGAATTACGCTGAATACATCTTAAGCGCGCTGAATCATAGTAAATCTCACAGTTTTAATAAATGAAATAAAATTCTAATGATATTTCAATACATTATTATAATAAATAGCAAAATTTTTCAAGAACAACGCGCTGAGAAGGATTTTTTAATGAATATATATTCTAGAAGACATTGTCCGGCTTCAATATGAATTTTTTTAGAATTACATAACTCCTTCCATATACTTCTGGAGAGCAAAATCGGTTCCAAGCCTTGTTGGTATGTGCTGAATGACATTATAATGTGCTGAATCAGACTTAACATAATATTAAGCCATTCATATTTAAAGTGCTGTACGCTAAATCTAGCTAAATTCTATTAAAAATAACTAAATAATGCTGAAATTCTATCATTTAAATTCTCATGTAGAACAAAAATTAATTTTGTTAAAACAAATAAAAATCGCAGCGCTGAATTGGCTGAATGAACGTAGGCGTAATCTGAAAGATTCAGAAACTTGTTCAGGTTTGTAGTTTTTATGTGAATTTGGATAGTGAAATGGTCTTTGCTTTATAATATGTTTTGCTGAATTAGCTGAATATCCAATGATGTAAGTAAATTGGGATTTTTAATATATTCTGTGTACTTAAGCATTAATGTGATAACCACCTTTTGTCAAAACATAAAGCTGAATGGAGCTGAAATAAGAATTGATTACCGCAAAATTCAGTTGAATAATGCTCAAAAGTACAATAACAAATTTTTGCAACATTTATTATGTATTATTCTGCAAAGAAACTTATATTTTTCAATTATTTTTTCCAAAATTATAAATTGATTGCCTTTAATCACCAATTTAATTTCCCATTTTCTCTTCCACTCTTCTCACTCTCATTCCAGGTATACGCCGAGCGAAATTTCTCACCAAACCACTGCCACCGGAGATCGGCACATTAGTTGCCGGCGAACGGGACTTAAGCTGCAGACATGATTTATTAATGCAACAAAGTGGCGTTGGTGGCAGTGGAAACAATACAACTAATGCTGCAACAACAACAACAACCATACCATCATCAGTAACAACCACTTTGACGAATGCATCGAATGCAACGTCGATTGCAATGTTGACAGCTGGATTGACAGCAACAGCAGCAACAGCGGTAGCGGCGGCGACGGCGACGGCGACAGCGTGTAGCGGTAATCCGCCAACAACAATAACAACGGCCATGTCAAACAACACACAAATGGGCACTTTAATGTCCGGCACAGCCGCGTCAATGATCGGTTCGAATGCAGCTGTGGACATTATGGAGGATGAGGAGGAGCATGAGCAGTTGCGTTTGGGGTGAGTAGTACGCAACTGTATTTGATTTTATTTTTTAACTTTTTTTTAATTTTAAGTTCCTGAGTTGTATTGCATTTTAAGTGATTTATTTTAGTATTTCATTGCGTATTTTGTTGTTGCGGTATTTATATGTCAGCACAGAGGAAAACTCAATTTGCTGAATTGAGCTGAATAACATTGGAAATAGCTAAATTGCGCTAAATTGGCAGCATATGATTATAACAGGTTTATTTATTACTATACAGATAATGGCTTTGAAACTTTTAGTGAATATGAAGAAAGGTACAAAGTAGGAAGTCTTACATTTATATCAGTTTACAAATTAATACTGGCTGAATAAATCCTGAAGAGATTTTGTCACAGCTAGTTTTAACAAAATATGTTAACAATGCATTTAATATTATTCGTCGTTGAGTTTAATAGCTATAACGCAAGCGGAATGCAGCTGAATATAAAAAACGGCAAAGATTTCATGCCGTTATAGTTTTTGGCGCTAAATAAGCGCTAATGACAATTGTAACAGTTTTTGACGTTGTGCTGAATAGAATCAAAAGCAGCTGAATAACGCAGAATGGTAAAAAATTTTTTTAAAATTTTCCTTTTGCGATCATTCCCGTAAATATACAATACAATTATCACGAAATGGGCGCTGAATATATATTTTTTTTAGGTTCACTGAAACAAATACGTAGATAATAAATTTGCTATTTTGCTACTGTGCTGAATCGATTCTAAAGCAATTGAAAGAGGTTGAAATTAAAAAAAAATTACTAAATTTTCAAACGTTTGCAAAATAAAGTTCACCAATAAGCGCTGAATTGTGCTGAATATCAAAAAAAAGCCGACTTCTGGTTAACATTTCTATGTTGAAGACATTTTTATTTTACAAATAATAATTATTTTGCCGTATTATTTGTCTGAAAGCTTTAAGCTGCACAAAACTTGTGCAGGGTTGCCACATTAAAACAAATTTAATAAGAAGAAAAGTTAACAAAATACAATCAAATGCCTATCAAATATGTAGATGAATTTTTTGAAACTTAAAAAAAAATCGCATAGTGCTGCCACTTATTTTTAAATAATTTTTTCATAAATTTTTGAACTAATATAATTGGTGAAAAAATGGTATTTTTTTTCTTTAATTTAATTTGCTTACCACAACTGAGTGGCTAAACCTAAGTCGAAATCAATTTTTTAATTTATTATATTGTATAATATAATATTTATAGGCATATTAACACATATTTAAGGCAACTTATGCTATTTTTCTTAAAAAAAATGTTCATTTAAATAAATCATTTCAACTTTCTTTGAATCTAAACGAGCAACTTGCATGGCCTTGAACTGTGCTGAATTAGAAAAAATTGCGGTGTAAAAAAAGGGTTTGTAACACTACTGAAACTGAAGCGTTTAAAAGAAAGAAAGACTGAAACCAAATTATTATATCAAACATTCCCACTTCCCCTTCGGTCACAGAAAGACTACACAGCTGAACGAAAAAATCAATACAGCACATTGGCCCCACAAATGGTAAACGACATTAAATGACAACACATCAATACAACAAATGCAAACAGTTTGTCTTGCGAATGCAATACAGAATATATGTATACATTGGTATATATTTGTATATACTGTTACTATGCAAATTCACAGTCTAGCTCTTTTTCCACATTTTGCCGGCTTTTAAAGCCTTTCGGGTGACAGCAAAAGCATGAAGAAGCCATCGGCTAAAGAGCAAAAACCACCGAGCACTGTAAAATCGGAAAGTATAAATGTGTAATATATGTATATATATAAAAAAAAAATAATAAAAATATTTCCTCAATAAATCGCTTGGGCTGCTCGGCGCATGGAGACTACACTGTAAAAGCTTTTGGTAAACTTGTCGTAATGACGGTGTCCCGGGTTGTTTATCCGGCTGAACTGTACTTGCGTAAGTGCGTAAGAGTGGACCTTTTTCAGGCATATTTTTTAATCTTTATATTATTTATTTTGTTTTTATTTTTGCTCCTGCCATTCTTAACTTGCATTTTACCGCAATTCATTCCCCCTTTTTCTTCGCTCTGTTACTCATTCGTTGCCTTTTACTTTTCATATATTTTTTTTTACTCCCTTTCTACAAGTTTTGATTTTTTCGTAGCTGTTGTTATTATTGTCATGAAAAGACAACTTAATTTATAAAATGGACATTTCGATGTGTCGGTTGCTTAAGATTATTAATGAAAAATTCGAATATTTTATGCCCAAAGAAACTCAAGACTAAAAATTTAATTGAAATCATGGATATTTTTAATACCTGCTGGCATTAAAATTAATTACGAAATAGCGCTGAATTCGAAAAGTCAACTTCATAGTCTACCTTTTGTTATTGAAAATAGCATTTTACAAAACTATCTAGTTAGAAAAAGTGGTGAACTTTAAGTTAGAAAATTTCACATCGGCACTACGAATTCTCAGCTCTACATTTTTTCAGCTTTATTTATATTTTTTTATACCATACCTTGTTTTATCTCATGCCATTCCACTTTATTTCACTTTTACTTAAAATCTTCCATTCTATTTAATTTTATTCTTATTATATAACTTTTTTTTAAACTTTTTTCTTCATTTTGTTTTATTTCATTTTACTTTATTTTATTTCGCTTTTAATATTTCAGTTTACTTAACTTTATTTTATTTTATTTTATATAATTTATTTCATTTTATTTTATTTTAATTTATTTTATTTTATTTTATATAATTTATTTTATTCTATTTTATATTATTTTATTTTATTTTATTTTATTTTATTTTATTTTATTTTATTTCATTTTATTTTATTTTATTTTATTNTATTTTATTTTATTTTATATTAATTTATTTTATTTTATTTATTTTTATTTTGTATTAATTTGTTTTATTTCATTTCATTTTATTTTATTGTATCTTTTTTAATTTTGTTGTTGTACTGCTGTAAGTGACAGCTCACCGGTTATTTAAGTGCTTCTTCGCAACAGGCAATTCAAAAATCTCACACAAACTAACCCAATAAGCCTCTCAACATACTTCTTTAATTTTGCATTTATTTACTAACTCAGCCCGAACCCTCAAACCTCTATCGGCTATTTGTTAATCGCCATAAGCACTTTTTCAGCGTGAAATCATTCAATTTCAGGATTCCCATACATACTTGAAAGGCAAAGAGTGAAATATTTAACCGTCTCTTTGATTAACGCTTAACACGATTGGTACAAATTGTTGGTAGCCGGACAAGATGACGGTTGAAATCGGTTTAGCTTTTGAAGAAGAAACGAAAAAAAAAAATTCAAAATAAAGAGAAAAGTTAGAGAGAAGCACTCAGCTGGTGTCTAGTCAAGTAAATTATTTTTTCTGAAGTACTTTGAGTTTCTCATATCAAACATTTTCTGTAGAAGAGGAAAATTCCATAACTGCCTAGAATGGAGGCCATAAAGGCTTATAAAAGCAATTTTAGAATTGTTTAAGTGATTAACCTGTTGAAGTGGGAGTGCCTGCCGACGTTAACTACAGCATTCTTTTCTTTTTCTGCCTCACATATCTATATGCCTCGGTGGTCACTTTATGTGAAATAAGGAGTGTGGAAAGAATATGTAAGCTCAGCTTTTATTTAATTTAATTTAATTTTAGTTGCTAAAATTAACGAATGGTATACATTGATTCCCAATCCATTCCTTTCACTTACTTATTTTTGTTGTAAGTTTGATGTTTTTTCCTGTACAACTCCTAGAAGTTTCGCATTGTTTTCCAGTTTTATGTCATTCCCGCATGGGGAAATCTATTTCCGTAAAAGACGATTTCGAGCCTGTCTAAAAGTAGCTCATGCCGATACCCATTGTAAGGTTTGGTTCATCCATAAGCACTGCACCTGTAAAAATTTGAGCCCATATGAAACAGACCCAGCTTCTCCTCTCTGAACTCAGTACCCAATAGGTTCGTTCCATAGCACTGCAGAAAGAGCATCGCACTAAAGCGTTCTCCAGTTGCCACATAAAGATGCTTGCGATACTCTTAAAGTAGCACTTACAGTTCGGCCAAATGAGTTGTAGAGTTTTTCTTGTCCACCAGGAAAAATGTACGATTAACTTTAACGTCAACTAGTAAGATCTCTGGATATTGCTGGATATACTTAATATATCGTTCTGTGTTCGAGGAAGAAAAAAAGCGAAAAATCCTTGGAATAAAGAAGCTTCTTGCCAAATTAAACTTTTCTTTGTAGGGTTTTGATTTTTATTGAGTGTATTGACCAAGAGTTAGCAAGCTTATATCTTGGTATTTTTGGCGAAGAAATTTCCACTGGTCATCTGATATAATTGAGGTGCATGGGCCGACAGTTAATGGTCATAGGAAAATCTATAGGTTCTAAAATCTCGCATAGCCTTCCTCGCTGTCTTTGGTATAAAGACACATAATATTTATTTCCGAGACAGAAAAACTCCGTTGAGGCTTTGGTATGTATTTAATATTGGAAGAGCATCTTATAGTTATGTAGAGCTAATACGGCCTGAATTCGCTGCAAGGAATAACACAAATAAAGACATTATTTCGAAAACATCTCAGAAAACATTTTCGGCAAAAAAAGCAAAAATTAATAGACCAAAAATACTTCGAGCTGAATTCGTAATTAATTACTGACACAGCCAACCAACCATGCACAAACCAAAGTGAATGAATATCAGATGGAAGAGAGAAACGGAAATAAGTATTACCCACACATACATACACATGTGGATTAGTAATTAAGAAAGCTGTATAGGAAAAGCGAGAAATAGTAGGGATCAATGAAACCAATTTGAGCGTACAAACAAATATATTATTGCTATTATTTGTCCACTATTTCTTCTTTCCTTTTTTTACAATACACTTGAAGAAATCTCAAATAAACAAGAATGAGCAAAGCAAAAAAAAAAATTAAATTAAATACTGAAATGGCGTAAGTAATGTTGACGTAATGGCATGATGTTTCATTTACGCACGAGCTG